TCAGCTCCAAACTCAGCCATGGGGCTTAAGATTTCCTTGCTGCTCAGAACAATTCCTTACTTCCATCACATCAACATGGAACAGAACCCATTGTCGATCATTATGAATCAACGTGACCTAGTCATCAAACACACGCGATCATCCTGATCCGTGTTTTTTTTTGAAAGGCTCGAACGTCCAGCCTTTTAGTCCGCCATCAACGAGCGCAGACGAGCTACAGGCTCACGGCCCCAGGAACTCACGAGCTCCACTCCACGGCTCCGCTCACGGGGCTGAAGGGTTCCAAAATTTGGCGCACAGCTGAGCAGCGTCTCGAGATATGGCCATGGGTCAAAATCCAAACTGTACCCCAGTGAGCCTCAACGAGTCCAACCACTTAAATAGGTTCTAAAATGGGTGGTGAATTCACCTACCAACCAAAATGGTACCATGGGCTTTGACCCACAGCCATATTGTTTTGGGTGTTCAGAGTTGGGGCACCAAAGGGCCCACTTCCAATAAAACGCCACATGCCCCATGTTGCGATGGCCGGGTAGCTCTCTTCATCCCAAGGCACCGGCAGCTCATGGTGGGTGGGCTTCTGCAGGGCTCGAACATCACGCTGAAGCCGGTCACTGATGTTTGCATCGGGCGCAGCTTTGCGGCACTGATCTTTTTGCATGTTCTATTTTGTGTTTCAGCGAGCCCCTATTTGGTTGTTTGAGGGTTTGAAGCCCTGGTTCGTGTTGAGGGCAGATGGCAAGCCACCCAAGGTTGCCAAACCACCAATCCGCACCACGAACAGAGGGAAGCTCTAGCAAGTTGTGTCCTTCCTTGAGTGCAGATCGCCGAGGTATGATGAGCAATGCCTTGAACCTCTTCAATGACTTGGAGCAGGCCAGGAGCTGCGTGGGCTTTCTTATCCGCACTCTTTTGGCCCAAAGTGGCTGATGGAGTACAATGCTTGGGCCAAAGACTACTTGCAACTTATCTAAATTCGAGAGTCATGCGAGGGCCTTCCATGATAGGGGGCTGCCGCATGAGTACGGTAGGGTGCGCGTACGATGCGCGTACGGCTTGCACGGTATGCGTGTGGTGTGCGTGCGGCGCGCGTGCGGTGCGCGTACGGTGCGCATGCAGCGCGCGCGGTGTGCGCGGTGCGCGTGCGGTGCGCGCGCGGTGCGCGCCTGGTGTACGTACGGCGCGGGTACAGTGTACGCCTACACTGCGCGCGCGCACTGAGCGCGCAAACCGTACGCAAATACTGTGCGGCAAAAGTGTGCGCCAAAATCGGTGTGCGTGCGATGTGCGTACGGTGTGCGGACAGGCAGTTTGCGCGCGCGCATCGCGCGCGTAAAACAAACACAGCAGATTTTGAAGAAAACACAGCAGTGCGCACACCGTACGCACACCGCACGCATACGCACACTGCACCGCCGCGCGCATACTGCGCGCTCACCGCGCGCGCCGCCGCTCACCGCTCACCCCATCGCTCGCACGCCGCCCGCACGCCGCGCACGCATTGCGCGTAGCGTACGCGCATGGCCGCGCGCCCTCACCGCTACTGTATTTTAAAGCCTATCATAGCATGACTCTCGGGTTTAGATAATTTGCAATTCAGAATCAGGGTAGTCAACCATTTGGGTACTTGGGTGACGAATGGCGACCTTGCTTGGCCCCTTTGCCAGCAAATGTCGCCAGTAGCATTTAAACCTTGCAGTGCTAGCTGAGAAGCGACACACCGGTGCTGAGTGAGACACCAACAGCTGACGGGGGACAAAGAGCATGCGCAGCAGAAGATGCGTCTATGAAAACGCCCAAGGTAGAAACCAACCCGAACGCGAACAGGGCGAGAAAGAAAGGTTTCAGGAAGCTTGAGGATGTGGTGAACTGTGTACGCGCAAGCAGATGCAGGTCCACGCAGAGTCGACTCATGAACAAGCGCAAGGAGGATCAGACCACGGTGGTGACTGGCAAGATCGCGGGGAGCAAGATCCCAATGAGCGCGGAGATGCCCAGTATCGCCGGCCAGACTTACAATGGGAGATCGTCGACTATCTGAAGGAGCTACCCTTCAAAAAGCCTACGTGCGACCTTGAATGAGCTCAAGAGTGACCAGATATTGGCAAAAGGGAAGGTAGAGACGCGTGATGGCGTTGGCCCCCTCCGCAGGACGGAGCAGCAGGAAACATCACCAGAGAGCCCGCTGAGACGAATAGAAAGGGCTGAAGAGATGCGCTGCGGGAAGTGTGGTTCAAATGTCTGAACCCCTCTTCGAACTGAAAGCCCGGTGAGGTCTCCCAGTTGATTGGCTCCCAGGTCGCCAGCCCCAACGCGCGCTAAGCAGCGAAAGTCAGAGACCTTTCTCGGTGCCGGCTAGACGCCTCGTCGGCCAGTCGCCCGGGTGCAAAGGCCGCAAAAAATGGTGGGCTCCTTGAGCAGGGCTCCTTAAAAGAAATCCACTTTGCCACCATTTGAAACATTTCTTTTTCAACACCAAAATACAGAAATGGAAGCAACGCCATATACAAGTTGCAATGTTCAGGTGAATGCATCCGGATCCCTGAGCCAGTCCGGCGCAGGTAGTGCGCAAATGATGTGCGGAGGGGCCGCAGCGCCGCGGCCAGCCGCAACCCGAGGGCTCGAAACGACGAAGCAAAGCCCACGTGAGACGAAGCAAAAGCCTCAAGCGCAAGGCCCAAGCCGACAAAGCCCCAACTGGAAACAGAACAGTGGCCAACATGCTGAATCTCTCACATGGGTGTACCACTGCCCGCCACTTAAAATTTCCGCGGGAGCAAGCAACAGCGAAAGCCTGAACAAGTGGAAGCATGGATGAAACGGCACAGACTGCAAGTGGCCTTAGTGCAGGAAACACACACACCAACGTGAATGCGAAAGAACAAAGCAAGCAACACGCATGGTTTTTCCAGTGGGGATGAGAACAGGGATAGCTCAGGGTCGCCATTGTCCTTGCTAATCAGCTTCTAAATTACATAGAAGATGCGCAGCCAATTGCCGACAGACTCATGTTCCTCACGCCACCAGGGACCATGCCCGTAACGTTTATGTGTGTATACATGCCGCCGGCCGAGTATCTCCCTGACATCAGTTTCGCAAGGCTTTCGCTGCAAGTCGCAAAGAAGTGCGGCCCGACTTACTGTGGATTGACGAAATCCTGCACCACTTGGAAAGCATGGGAAACCGCTGTTTGTTGGTGTTTACAGGGGAATCAAATCATTCCAGGGTTCCTTAGGTGGTGCAGGATTTCGTCCATCCACAGTATGTTGGAGGGCGACTTCAATGCTAGAGTGCAAGGATGAATGGAGCGCATGAACCGGGAGTTGGTACCCGCGCGGTGTGTCCGCAAAAACACTGCGCTGCGGAAGGAGTGGAAAGCAGAGTGGTCTGAATTGCGCCCCCTGCGCTAGACACAGGTACGAAAGGCTGGATTCCGTTTAGCTTGCTTGCGAAGGAAGAACTCGTTCCGCAACTGTGAGTCGGACGTCTTTGCGCCAACGCCGCCTCAGATCATTAACCGGCAACTGCCCAGGCCACTGCTACGGCGCTTGCGTGCCGCCCAAAACTTGAGCAATGCTCGGCAGATCGGAAATTGGAGTTCGCCAAGCTGCGAGCCGCCTGGACATAGGTCAACGACGATGCCAGTGCGTTGCATGCCGCAAAGGAAACAGCCGTGGCGGTCGCATCCCAGGTAAGAGCAAACAATAATCAATTAGCGCCCCTTTATTGACACACGCAGCAGAGGAGCGACCCCTTGCTACAACTAGACCTTGACAGCGTCAGGGAACTCGATCAACGCATACAGCAGACCAAAAAAAAGGACGTTAGCAGCACATGCTCGATTCTGTGCGCAAGGATATGGATGTAAGAGAGCGGTGGAAGCGGATGAAGGCGAACTTTATACCGCCATGTGCCCCGAAAATCAACACGGCTGCCGCATACCGTTTTATGGGAAACCTTCCTGGAAGAGCAGAAATCTGGGGGCAACTGAGCAAATTCTCCTTCGGGGCAACCCGTCCCTCACAGTCACTGAATAGCTCTGGGGGCATTTTGGGCGCCAAGCACATTGCCATAGGAAGTGGCCACGAGAAGAGCGCTCAACCAATGCCACGTCGAGCGGAAGCCGCGAGTTCGCGAGTTCTCGCGAACTATGGTTTTCAAGAAAGGACATACGCGGGACCTTGCCAAGAAACAGGCCAGTTTCACTTCTCAACAGTCTCTACAAGCTATTTTGTGCGTTGTCGCAAAAAGAATTTCAGAAGCCCCTCGAATCAACAAGCGCATTTCCCGAATGCTTTTTGACCTGGAAACGGCTCGCGGAGTTCTGGAATCATGCTTATGGCGGAGTTAGCGCTAAAACTCAAGCCTACAACTGGGGCTCCTTAAAAGATACACTTTGCCCATTTGAAACATGGCTTCTTCCACCAAAATAAAGGGACACCACCATTCCCAAGGCAATGTTCAGGTGTATAATGCAAGGATCCCTGTACAACCAAGGTTGAGAGCCCCTATTGGTGTGTTAAGTTGCTGCGGCGCATTCTGAAGATGCCCGACACTCTTGTGAACAGGGAAACTCGAACGTAGTGGTGTTCCAGACGCTGCAGATGGTGGCGATCAAATCAAAAGCGTAAAGGTAAAACTCGAAGGTAGTGGTGTTGGACCCAGACGGAAACGCAGCCATAGCAGAGATCATTGTGGCAGATGGTGGTGATCGAATCAAGAGCGTGTGTTGCAGAGCTAAAGGAGCATGGCAGGGAGACCCCGAAACAGTTGGTGGCGTTTTGGGCTGCAAGCACCTTGGGAGGCGGTCAGGGTAAGTCAGCGCCAGAAGTTTCAACATGTTGCGCTGGATTCTACTAACCTGACCATATTCAGGCCATTCGAAACCTGGCCCTAACTTGCACTCGTGGAGGGCAAGTGGCTGGTTGGTGGACTTCATTGCTGGGGACGCGTGCGTGTCCTGGCGCTGCGACTAGGAAAGGATATCCACAGGGTCTACATTGTTTTACAAGTGGCAGAACACTTTTCACCATGACAAGTTTGCTTTTTTTCAGATTCGCACAACTCCACTAATGATTTGGGCTCCCCCAGGCTCTCGCGTGAAAGTTCGCGAGTGTAGGAAAGGCTCGCGCGGAGCCGTTGGCCGTTGGCAGGCCGTGCGTGCACTTGCGGCGGGCGACAAAGCAACTGACCTGCGACTTTTACCAGGGCTCCTGAAAGATACATCTTGCCCATCAAGGTAATGTTCAGGTGTAGAATGTAAGGATCCCTGTTTACCTTTCCAGATCCGACCACTTTGAAGGTTGGGTGCGTGAACCCGCCTGGTGAACCTAAACGACCCATTTCAGTTTTCTTGACTCAAACGCGGGGGGTTTTGAGCTTGTTTCTCAGTGAAACCACCTGGTGAACCTAACAGACTTGAGGGGTTTAACCAGCTCCAAGGCAAAGGTGGCCGACATCAACCTCCTCAGTCCTGCAGGGCAGCTGGCGATGACGGAGCCCTCCCTTGCCCTGGAGCGTTTTTACGAAGGCCCTGACCGGGAGACGGATAGGGGGACTCCAGTGTGCCACATTTTGACAAATGCAGGCCAAGCGGTTCTTCTTTCGGGGGAATGGACCGCTGGGTTTAAGTCTGCCCTGGACCATTCTTTTTTTGCCCCGAGTAAAGCCATCCATCCGATTTGGCTTCCCTTCGGAAATCTCCAAAACAGGTTGATTCCCTCATTCCCTTCTGAGCACCAGCAAGTTTTCTCCCTGCTTTGGAGTTTCGCACACATCGTTTTTTTCTTTTCTTTTTCAACCCATGATCTTTTTGGAGCCTGGTGAACTTTACACGAGTGCGAGTGATACCAAGAATTCGCTGCGATGAAGTCTCCGGCCATGAGCCCATGCTTTGGTTATGAAGTCCCGGCACTGTTTGCGAACCTTTGGGGTATTCCCGTTCTTATTTATATATATATATATATACACATATTAAATAACCGATGCCCCTTTTGGGAGTGTTTCAAATGGCAGCTTCTCGGTTTTTTCAAGTTTCCCTTTGAGACCTCCTATGTTCTCGCAGGACAGTCGGAGACCTGCGAGGAGTTCGCGCTGAGCGTGGATGAATGGATGCTGCTGATGACGGAGACCACACGCTTCTTGTGGCAAAGAGGGGGCACCCCTTCGATAGATCTGAGGGCTCGCCAGGTAGGGGTCCCACTGGTCAATGATTGGTGTTCTTCCATCGAAGGCCTCTTTGCTGATTCCTAGTTTTGGGGGGCAAGTTGAAGGCCGACCTTTGCTGATTCCTACTGTGGATGGTTGCGAAATCCATTTCGCAGCACCTAAGAAATCTTGTGTCTGATGATTCCCGTGTAAATACCAACAAACAGCGGTTTCCCATCGTTTCCAAGTGGTGCAGGATTTCGTCCATCCACAGTAGCTTTGGATTCCCGTAGACTCGTTGAGAAGGGGGATGCTCAGAAAGCGCAACGGATGACTCTTCCCCGTGCACCCTCGTGCCGAAAGACGATCAAGTCTGATTCCAATCTACTTGGTTGCTGCACAGTCTGCCGTGTGCTTGTGGTGACAACGCACACTTCTTCCCACAACAATGCCGCCAATGCCAGTCAGCAACCTGGTTCCGTGACCCGGGAGAAAAGCACGTATCTCAAAGCATCCAAAAACTAGCAAGACTTCAAGTCTGTATTTGCTTCAAGAGGCAGAGAAGCCCGAACACATGCGCCAGGAGATATGTCTATTCAAATGTCACAACGCAGATGTGAGGTTAGTTAACTCGTCCACAGAGCGTCTCACCATTTAGAACCTCCTCCTTTCCCCATATAGCCCTGGCTCCAAAGCCAAGGCCGGTGCAAAGGACAAGTGGCAGAGGTATTAACACGTTGGTTCCTTCCCGGGGTTCGGGTCTGTGCTTGGCATGAAATGCTTTGGCCAATGCTGGAGATCGACTTGGGAAATCGTATGTGTAAAGCTCAACCACACTTGGACCACGTTGCTAGCACAGGTGCGCTGCCATCTATAGTCTTGCGGTTCAAACATTGCCCCCCCTGCTTCGCTCAACGAATGAAGATGCATGAATCTCCAGGACATGTTGCGCAGGGAAAAACCACACTGGCAGAGCTTCTGCGACCCATTGCTACTATACCCATTCTGGGTTGGTTTGAAGGGAGGCCAAAAGTGAGAGATAAAGTCATGTCGATGTGGGACGAGCTCACCTTGCGGGTAAAAAGAGCTTACCCGTGGCAACAGTCCTTCAGTTGGGTATTCTTGATTTCCAGTTTGTGAATTGCAGTAACTTGCCCGATCTCGAACCAAACTTGGAGGGATGTTTTGCTTGAAACCACTGCGTGAAAGGAAACATGGATGTATATATATATATATATATATTTCTGGGCCGGCGGCCTCTAGCCGGCTACGCCTCTTTGAAGTTATACCACGTCATATCATGTTGTGTGCATGAGAAACGTATGCTGTGCTATGATATGGCTATGTTGCCCACCTTAACCCCAGATAATGCCGGGGATGCCGGCTTTCTGGGCCCCAGCCAAAAAAAACAGCCTGCAAGCCAGCCCGGAAACGCAAACGCAACAAAACACCGTAAATAGCAGCGTTTTGTGGCTGGGGTCGCGCGCCAAAAAGCCCGAAAACCAACGGGAAAAAAGCAAGGACTGCGCAGCGCGCGAGCCAGCCACAGCAAGAGCAAAACGGACAGAACAACAGCCCAACGCTCAGCGCAGCAGTTTTTGGCGGTATTTACAGCGTTTTGGAGAGCGAGGACCCAGCATCGCCGGCATGCCCGGCAGCGCTTGGCGCCAAAATGCGCAAAAATGAGCCTTACCTTCTTAAAAACAGTGCTTCATGGGTTGAGAGGCTTTTTGGAAGGAAGTCTTGATGATGCAGGCCAAGCCCCGCTGAAGCATCACCCAGGCCCAACCCCAAACCCTGACGATGTCAGCCACATGGCCTAAACCCTGCATATACGCGACGTTTTGCGAGGGTTTCCCACAGGCAAGCAAAACCGCAAGCCCGAGCTGGTGATGCAGAGGTGCCGGATTTAGGCAGCGCATCACGACCAAGTGGCGAGGGTCGGCGGCACCAGGGTGCACCCCCTATAGCTAAAGCTAGCAGGCTAATTGCCTAGCGGCGACATGCTACCCCAAGGAGGCGTAGCCGGATTTAAGTACTCCAAAGAGGGCTGGCTTCTTTTTGGCTTGCCTTTAAGGCAACCCAAAAGAAGGGCACCCTCAAACAAACACAGCCGCTAACAGAGCACAAGCAACACGTTCCTTTTGGATGCTACAAACATGGTTGTCCTGCGTAAACGATCGGACCTGTTTATGTAGCTCGTTGGCTCAACCGGTTTGAGCGCGCAGTGTCGCGACTAAGATGCGGAATAAAACAGACCAGTGTATGTTTTGAGAGTGCTAAGTCAACAGTAAAATAGAGTACATACCTCCTCTGAATGCAGGCACCATGCGAGACCTTGTCGCACGAAATCCCGGCAAGGCAAAAGAGGTCCCCCAAAAAAGAGGGACCCATTCAGACACCGCATTCTGGAATGCATGAACATTTCGGGGAGGCCACCCTCCTGAATCTAAGCCTGGCCCCCCTACACGTTGCCAGCCAGACGCTTCCTGTCGCCCAAACGGGGGGACTCATTTAGACACTGCATTCTGGGATGCATGGACAAAAAATGAGCCCCCCCATTTCGCGCAGGCCACCCTCCTGAATCTCTGTCTACAATGAGAATAACCTCACTACTCAGCTTCAACTACCCTAATTTGGGCCCGGATGCAAGCGCTCTTTTGATTGACTTTGGATGAATCAATTTGGCGCCAACATGGGCAAAATCCGGGCCCGGAAAGTGCATTACCAATGGTTCCCAAACGCCACATTTGAAATGTAAAAAGAGATGATGATGACAATCATGATGCCGATGATGAAAGTGATGATTGTGATGACAATCATCATGAAGATGATAAGGATGGTGGCTCTCATGATAACTATCATCGTAGCATCCTCTGCATTACCAAAGCTGCCAATGACTGGCATGATAACTATCATCGTAGCATCCTCTGCATTACCAATGCTGCAGAATCAGAGATCATGATGATCATACGGACAATGATGATAAGGATGATGACTGTCATGATAATATCATCACAGCATCCTCTGCATTACCAATGGTGCCCAAACGCCACATTTGAAATGTATATGATGATGACAATCATGATGACGATGATGAAAGCAATGACTGTGATGACCAGCATCATGAAGATGATAAGGATGGTGGCTCTCATGATAACTATCATCGTAGCATCCTCTGCATTACCAAAGCTGCCAATGACTGTCATGCTAACTATCATCGTAGCATCCTCTGCATTACCAATGGTGCCCAAACGCCACAGTTGAAATGTATAGAAGAAAGAGATGATGATGACAATCATGATGACGATGATGAAGGTGATGAGTGTGACGACAATCATCATGAAGATGATAAGGATGATGACTCTCATGATAACTATCATCGTAGCATCCTCTGCGTTACCAAAGCTGCCAATGACTGTCATGATAACTGTCATCGTAGCATCCTCTGCGTTACCAATGGTGCCCAAACGCCACATTTGAAATGTATAGAAGAAAGAGATGATCATCACAATCATCATGACGATAAAGGTGATGACTGTGACGACAATCATCATGAAGATGATAAGGATGATGACTCTCATGATAACTATCATCGTAGCATCCTCTGCATTACCAATCTAACGTCCCTTTTGAAATGTATATAAGAACAAGAAAGAGATGATGATGATCATCATGATGATGATGACGACCATCATCATGATGATGATAAGGATGATCATGATGATGACTGTGATGAGAACTTTGGGGCCCGGAAATGAAACAGGGATCCTTACATGAAAACCGCCTGAACATTGCAACTTGTATATGGTACCGTGTCCCTTTATTTTTGTGTTGAAGAAGCAACATGATTCAAATGGTTGCAAAATGGAGATCTGTTAAGGAGCCCTGTAAAAGGTTAACCTTCTGGGACCATGGCTAAAACTGGACCGACAATGGGAAAAGCAACAGGTCAAAGGTCGATTCGCTTTGGACAACTGAGTATGTGTTGCGAATTTTCTGAACCAGCCACAGGAGATGCTACGGGAAACCCCAAACCTGTCCCCGGCTGGGTGCTCAATAGGAAGTCTGGAGCAGATAAACATTGCCCATCGCCCTTTGGGCTCCATTTGGGTAAGTCAACAATTATAGTGTTTCATTTGGCTTTCTTGGGTAAACTGAGGGCCTTTCTGATAACCGAAGCTTGGTTGGGCCTTCTAAAAAAAGCAGCCAAAGGTTTCGAAACCTGCTTCTCTATGGGTCAACCACCAAAATGACCCAACTTGACTTGTGCTAGAGATGCGGTATCTGACAAGGGGACGTGTGATGTGATCAATTGGGTTACTGTGGACCGCATTTTAATTCACCCCGGTGAACTAATACGGGGTGTTGCCCTCCAAAAGTAGTCTGATCCACTTTAAACTCAGGGAAGCCAATGATGATAATGGTGAGGGCTGTGATGATAACTATCATCGTAGCATCCTCTGCATTGCCAATGCTGTCTAACGTTACTTTTGAAATGCATATAAGAAAAAGAAAGAGATGATGATGACCATCATGATGATGATGAGAAGAGTGATGATGATGATGACGACGACCATCATCATGATGATGATGAAGAAGATCATGATGATGACTGTGATGATAGCTATCATCGTAGCATCCTTTGCATCACCAGTGCTGCCTAATGAGAGATGATGATGATGATGATAAGGACGATGACTGTGATGCTAACTATCATCGTAGCATCCTCGGCATCACCAGTGTCGGCAAATAAGAGATGGTGATGACCATGATGATAATGATGATAAGGATGAGGACTGTGATGATAACTATCATCGTAGCATCCTCGGCATCACCAGTGCCGGCAAATAAGAGATGATGATGACCATGATGATCATGATGATAATGGTGAGGGCTGTAATGATAACTATCATCGTAGCATCCGCGGCATCACCAGTGCCGGCAAATAAGAGAGGATGATGACCATGATGATAATGATGATAATGGTGAGGGCTGTGATGATAACTATCATCGTGGCATCCTCGGCATCACCAGTGCCGGCTAAAAAGAGATGATGATGACCATGATGATAATGATGATAAGGATGAGGACTGTGATGATAATTATCATCGTAGCATCCTCGGCATCACCAGTGCCGGCAAATAAGAGACGATGATGACCATGATGATAATGATGATAATGGTGAGGGCTGTAATGATAACTATCATCGTAGCATCCTCTGCATTGCCAATGCTGTCTAACGTTACTGTTGAAATGCATATAAGAAGAAGAAAGAGATGATGATGACCATCATGATGATGATGAGAAGAGTGATGATGATGATGATGACGACGACCATCATCATGATGATGATGAAGAAGATCGTGATGATGCCTGTGATGATAACTATCATCGTAGCATCCTTTGCAGCACCAGTGCTGCCTAATGAGAGATGATGATGATGATGGGAAGGACAAGGACTTTGATGATAACTATCATCGTAGCATCCTCGGCATCACCAGTGCCGGCAAAGAGTGATAATGATGATAAGGATGAGGACTGTGATGATAACTATCATCGTAGCATCCTCGGCATCACCGGTGCCGGCGAATAAGCGATGATGATGACCATGATGATAATGATGATAATGGTGAGGGCTGTGATGATAACTATCATCGTAGCATCCTCTGCATTGCCAATGCTGTCTAACGTTACTTTCGAAATGCATATAAGAAGAAGAAAGAGATGATGATGACCATCATGATGATGATGAGAAGAGTGATGATGATGATGACGACGACCATCATCATGATGATGACTGTGATGATAACTATCATCGTAGCATCCTTTGCATCACCAGTGCTGCCTAATGAGAGATGATGATGATGATGAGAAGGACGAGGACTGTGATGATAACTATCATCGTAGCATCCTCGGCATCACCAGTGCCGGCAAATAAGAGATGATGGTGACCATGATGATAATGATGATAAGGATGAGGACTATGATGATAATTATCATGGTAGCATCCTCGGCATCACCAGCGCCGGCTAAGAAGAGATGATGATGACCATGATGATAATGATGATGAGGATGAGGGCTGTGATGATAACTATCATCTTAGCATCTCTGCATTGCCAATGCCCTCTAACGCCACACTTGAAATGTATAGTATAGAATATAGAAGTATAGAAAGAGATGGTGATGACCACGATGATGATGATGATATTGATGACGAGGGTGACAAGGATGATGACTGTGATGATAATTGTCCAGCAGTCATCATGTCATGATAATCATGTCCACGCATCTTTTGCGTTTCAATTCAGCTCATAATCATCGTGACGCGTCCTCAGCATCACCAGCAGTCATCGTGCTAATGATGTCCACGCATCTTTTGCATCTCAAGTCGCATGATAATCATCATGACGCATCCTCAGCATCACCAGTAGTCATGATGATAACCACCCTCTGCATCACCAGTGCTCTCTAACGCCACACTTAAAATGTATAGTATAGAATATAAACGTATAGAAAGAGATGGTGATGTCTACGATGATCATGACGATGATAGTGATGACGAGGGTGGCAAGGATGATGACGGTGATGATAATTGTCCAGCAGTCATCACGATAACCATGTAACCGTCCAGCAATCCTCATGATAATCATGTCCACGCATCTCTTGCATTTGAAATCGGCTGATAGTCATCATGACGCATCCTCAGCATCACCAGCAGCCATCAAGATAATCATGGCATCTTTCGCATCTCAAGTCGCATGATAATCATCATGACGCATCCTCAGCATCACCAGTAGTCATGATGATACTCATGACGACGCATCCTCTGCATCACCAGTGCTCTCTAACGCCACACTTGAAATGTATAGTATAGAATCTCAAAGTATAGAAAGAGATGGTGATGACTACCATGATGATGATGATGACATTGATGACGAGGGTGACAAGGATGATGACTGTGATGATAATTGTCCAGCAGTCATCACGATAACCATGTAACCGTCCAGCGATCCTCATGCTAATCATGTCCACGCATCTCTTGCATTTCAATTCGGCTGATAGTCATCATGACGCATCCTCAGCATCACCAGCAGTCATCATGATAATCATGTCCACGCATCTCTTGCATTGCAAATCGGCTGATAGTCATCATGACGCATCCTCAGCATCGCCAGCAGTCATCATGATAATCATGTCCACGCATCTTTTGCATCTCAAGTCGCATGATAATCATCATGACGCATCCTCAGCATCACCAGTGCTCTCTAACGCCACACTTGAAATGTATAGTATAGAATCTCAAAGCATAGAAAGAGATGGTGATGACTACGATGATGATGATATTGATGACGAGGGTGACAAGGATGATGACTGTGATGATAATTGTCCAGCAGTCATCATGATAATCATGTAACCGTCCAGCAATCTTCATGCTAATCATGCCCACGCATCTCTTGCAATTGAAATCGGCTGATAGTCATCATGACGCATCCTCAGCATCTCCAGCAGTCATCGTGATAATCATGTCCACGCATCTTTTGCATCTCAAGTCGCATGATAATCATCATGACGCATCCTCAGCATCACCAGTAGTCATGATGATAATCATGACGACGCATCCTCTGCATCACCAGTGCTCTCTAACGCCACACTTGAAATGAGTAGTATAGAATATAAAAGAAAGAGATGGTGATGACTACGATGATGATGATGGTATTGATAATGAGGGTGACAATGATGATGACTGTGATGATAATTGTCCAGCAGTCAGCATGATAACCATGTAACCGTCCAGCAATCCTCATGCTAATCATGTCCACGCATCTCTTGCATTTCAATTCGGCTGGTAGTCATCATGACGCATCCTCAGCATCGCCAGCAGTCATCATGATAATCATGTCCACGCATCTTTTGCATCGTAAGTCGCATGATAATCATCATGGCGCATCCTCAGCATCACCAGTAATCATGATGATAATCATGACGACGCACCCTCTGCATCCCCAGTGCTCTCTAACGCCACACTTGAAATGAATAGTATAGATATTAGAAAGAGATGGTGATGACTACGATGGTGATGATGATGATATTGATGATGAGGGTGACAAGGACGATGACTGTGATGATAATTGTCCAGCAGTCATCATGATAATCATGCAGCCGTCCAGCAATCCTCATGATAATCATGTTCACGCATCTTTTGCTTTTCAATTCAGCTCATAATCATCGTGACGCATCCTCAGCATCACCAGCAGTCATCGTGGTAATCATGTCCACGCGTCTTTTGCATCTCAAGTCGCATGATAATCATCACGTCACCAGTAGTCATGATGATAAAGCCTGGCCGCACGTTCTGGCCGCGCGTTCTAAGGTCCAACCTCCTCAGCATCTTTTGCATCTCAGGTCGCATAATAATCATCGCGACGCATCCTCAGCTACAGGGTGCCATCGAGGCGGCCGCTGTAGGGCCAAGCCAACATAAAGTATGAAGAAAGTCAGAACAATATATGAAGACAAGTGTGAATGTGAAGAGAATGTGAAGCGTGACCCGTAACCAAGCTTACGGGTCGCGCCTTAGACCTGGTCTTCCAGAATGCTCGTGCAACGGATATTGATGATAAATCGGAAGATTAGCATTATGACGCATCCTGAGCATCACCAGGAGTCATCATGATAAGCATGTCCACACATCTTTTGCTTAGCATAACATAAAGTATGAAGAAAGTCAGAAGAATATATGAAGACAAGTGTGAATGTGAAGAGAATGTGAAGAGCCAAGCTTACGGGTCGCGCCTTAGACCTGGTCTTCCAGAATGCTCGTGCAGCGGATATTGATGATACATCGGAAGATTAGCATCATGACGCATCCTGAGCATCACCAGGAGTCATCATGATAAGCATGTCCACACATCTTTTGCTTAGCATGTCCACGCCGTTTTTGCATCTCAAATCGGATCTACAGTTGAAGTCGAACAAACGAGATGATGATGACCATCATGATGACGATCTTGTTGCCACCCTTCCCGTGCGCCTCCCCTTAGGAGAAGGGGTCGGCGGATATATATATATATATATATATGTATATATGTGCGCATGTAGCGCCTGTATAGCCACTGCATCACCCAAGAGCCAACCAGGGCCCTCCCCCCTTCAGGCACCTGTCTTTCCTTCGAGGGGACGTTCCTTTACAGAACCAAGGACTCCCTTCGTTGCCTGTTGGTTTGGTGGCCAGTGGTTGACGGACCACCTTAGGGGAGAGAGACCAAACGACACCGGGGTTTCCCCCTACCATGGTTTGGCCCTAGAAACCAAACGAAACCAATGGAAGCTGCCGGGGTTTGTGAAGACTTTCTTTTTGAAAGCCGACAGGGCCTCAGACGACTTTGGGGCACTACCCTGTCCTATATTTTTTGATCAAAAGATCCTCCTCAGATCTGGGTCCTGGAGCTACGGAGGTTTATCCTGGGGCACTATATATACTATATATATATATATATATCTTGATGTCCCCTAGGGGAACCTTTCACGGGACAGGTTTTTTTCTCAGTCTTTTTCCAGGGGATCCTTTTCACTCCTGGACTTTTTTTCTCCAAGAGAGGGTCTGGCCACACTGGACAGGTTTTTTCTCCATTTTTTCTCCAGGGCCTGCTTTGGTCGATCCGTCTGAGAGATGCGGGGTGTCCCCTTTAGTGTGGATTCAGACCACTTTTGGAGGACCTATTGATGTTGACCCAATAATCAACCCCAGTTCATGAATAGGGGGTGTTTTTAATCGAAAGTAGTCGAATTCCCGTCCGGCGCGAACGACGCGAACGCGAACGCGCGCGCGAGGCTTGGGCGGCCTGGCCCAGTCCTTCGCCCGGGCCTTCGCGCGCTGGGAGCGCATGCAGACCACCGCGGAGCAGGAGAGCTTCGAGGCCGCGGGGTATTTTTTTTCCACGGATTTCGGAGTGCATTTGGGACGTGTCGAATTCTAGGGGTTGATTCCTTGTCCATTCTTTTCAACCATGTTTCTTTTCAAAAACCAGCTGTTTCCCCAAGGGTTTTGGGTGGTGTTTTTAGAAAGAAGGATGCCTGGAAAGAATGGGGAAGGTATTCCTAGACAAATGCATTTGGATGGTCCAAAGTCGATGTGGAAGACAAACCCAAATTTGAGTATTTTTTGTGCTTCCTGTTCTCGGTTGTCCCGTACCTGAACAGGGTACCCTCAACAGAAACCGAGTCGTTGATATTCACTCCTTGTCGTGGTCTAACCAGGCTCAACTTCGCAAACCGCTCGCGAGCAGAAGGCCAAAGCATTCCTTGGGAAAGGATCGCGGAATGCACTTCGGTAAACAAGAAGCCCAGCAACCCGCAGCGAGTCCCTTCACTTCTCTGGACGCATCTTCACTCGCACCTGTGTCCCAAGGTCCAGGGTGGCATCCCTAGTTAGTTCTGCCAAGAAGAGTTCTCCACAGGTGCATTTTGCTTGGATGCTAGGACTTTAACTTTTTGCCAACTAATGATTTGCCATTAAACCACTAAAAGTTGAACTGTTAACAGGGGAGCAGAAAGCAACCGAGTCTCGATATGTAGCCCTCTCTGCAATGCCCACTACAGGTTTCGGGGTGCTTCTCCGATGAGGCCAGGAGACACCCAACCTCAAGGGAATTTTCGGCGGCTATGCCACATTGCCCTAAAACGCTTGGCCCACTTGACCTTTGCACGGGTTGTCAAAGTTTGAGAGGTGGGTGAACGAATGTTTAGCCGCCCAACAACGGTATGTAGAACCCAGTGGTTTCCGAGATCTTACGAATCGCAACCCTAAATGACCACCCATAGAAAGTCATTCAGACCTGAACTTGGGCCAGGTCCTAATGAAAAAAACTTTCATTGCAGGAATGTTCTGGTGTGACGGGGGGGGGTCGGGGGGGGAAGTTGAACCACAAACCTTCAGATTGTGGGTGCAAAGCTTTGCCCAACTGAACCGCTCTGGTGGCAAACCACTCAAGCTACTATAGTTCCGCACCCACCAGATGGAGTTGAGTTTTATGTGGCTAGCTCCCCCCCCCCTGGTTCACCCCTGGACCTGTTGCAAGCCCATGTAACCGCCATGTCAAACTAGCTTTCTCCAGACCATCGGGACAGTCCCAACCACAAAAGGGTACGGGAAACAAAACCAGCTGTTTGAGATTCTTTGGTGTTTGGACCCCTTTGATGCCTGGCTTCTCTTCAAAACGGCAAAAGGGTACCAAAACAGGTGGTTTCTCTTTAGTCTCATGTGATGGGTCCAAAATTCAACCACCAGGAATTGGACCGCAGGTTTTAGTCCATGTTGGGCCTACCCATTTTTGACCGCCATGTGTTAACACAATTCCAACAAGGGGTCAAGCACAGCCTCAAGTTGCGCCGCGCGTTTCGAGTTTCAATCCCAACAAACAAGGCCCCCCCCACCCCCCCACCCCCCCAAAAAATGTAGAAAGGAGAATTGAAGGAACTGAAATTCTTTTCTACATTTTTTCTATCAACCAATGAAAAACACATTGAACAACCAAGTATCAAATAATAGATAAGGTTAATAAATCACAACCTTATTCATTCTAAGTAATTCCTAGAAAAGATACACACCTTATCCATTATTTTTTCACTACTTAACCTATTTAATTTTACTATTTGTTTACCCTTATTCATTTTGTATTTTAAGTCTTTTTCCAATTCTCAGAAACTCCAGTTGTTCTTCATTTTTTCTTTTTACCTTATTCATTGTTCGCGAATTTTTCACTCAGACTTTAAAATATGACTAAACCACATTTCCACCTTTAATAATCTTTGTTTCAACCTTATTCTTCAACTGTTTTATCATCTTCTTCATTACATAGTTTTTGTTTGTCCTTTTTCTCAATTCTTTTTCTTCTCGCTTTATCCACAACTTCCCTACACCTGATACAATATCTATATATGCGACCAGTGCTTCTAACTCCAAAGTCATTAACCTTTTTCCAAGACAAGCACCTAGTGCATTGATAATCGTATTTACATTCTTCCAATTCCTTTTCAGTATTCTAGTATTTATTATCCAAAGATAATCGCGCAAATCCATGATAATATATAATACTAATAAGTCTTTATACATTTTACCAGTAAAGCCCACAATTACCAATACAAACTCAAAACCAAACAGTCAAAGGACATAAACAAATTAGGAAAATATAATAATTCAATCTTGTACAAATGATAAGTATGGATGAAACATACTTACATTATAATTATAACATATAGGGTATAAATGTTATAATCATAGTATGGCTAAATCGTTCCAGAATCTTTAAAAGTGGGACTGGAGTCCCCGAATCCCACGCATTTGGGACTGGAGTCCCCGAATCCCACGCATTTTCGGTCAGTGTCCCACGCATTTTGGGTCAGAGTCCCACGCATTTGGGACTGGAGTCCGCGAAAATTGGGACTGGAGTCCCAGAATCAACCAAACTCAAAATCCTTAATCCGTCAAACTCACTAAGATTTCACAAATTAATTCGCTAGGTATTTTATATAAGTCTTCCTGCTTATGTATTGTTGGATTGTCTCCCCATTTTTCCTTGGTGCCCGATGGTAGCCGTTGTGCTGTTTCAATATGTTTATTATTCCTGATGTTGCCACAATCCTTTTTACATAAATCTCTAGGTTTCCAAGTTTTAATGTTATTCCAAAGCCTAGTTCTCTTTCTGTAAGGCATTCCATATTTACAATACTCAACATCTTTAAATTCAAACTCAACCATAAACTCCTGATTTTTTAATAATCCAGTTTGTGGATTTTCGATTACAAAATATTTAGGATTAGAATATTTGATAATATCAATAGTTTTTAAGACAATACTATTTGCATATTCGATATTCCTAATTCCCCTAGTTTTTGCTACACTATACTCAGTGCATGGGGGACTACTCCAAATAAAATCAAAATGGTTTCTGTCAAACTGTTTGTAATCCCACTCCAAAATATCTGTGCTGATATCAGCATTTTTCAAGTCTAATGATATTATGCTATGCTTCCGACGCTTTTTGTTCCACTAAATAATTCTAATCAATTCATATTATTAGAATTACTTAGATATTAATTATTCAAATAATACATATACTCCATCATCATTTTTTGAAATTTTATAATAGTCTAATGTTTGTTGCTTTGGTTGTTTGATTTTGTTTGAAACTATCATATCATAATACTGTTGTCTTTTTGTTTGATGGTCGCCCTTAGGTCTTCCTATTGATTTTCTCTTAAATATTTCATCTATCTCTTCTATACTTTTATTATCAACGGGTTCAACTGGTTTAAGTTTTTCATCAATGGATTTAATCATATCATTTAAGGCTTTAATATTTTTACCAATTGATCTTCTTCATTAAATCATTAATAGTATAATTTTCATTTTCAGACATTACTATATATGTATTTAGATAATTATTTTTTGAATTATATATTTTTAAAGTGCAATTATGTTAAATCTACTCTTTAAATACTAATTTTTCATCATTTGTTTAATAGTTTCCTGCGTTTCGTTTTCCTTTATCCGAGAGTGATGCATCCTTACCCCATTTAAAAGTTATATTATGAACATCTGTTTGTAAGTTGATACTGTCTTTAGTTTTATCAATATTCATTTTCTTATCATTTTGACTTATTTTGAAACTTGTTGGAATACACGAACATTTACAATTTCCTTTCTTTTGTATTTCTAATTCATTTTTCATTTCTATCATCTTTTTACACATTGGACACATAAACTCAATGACTGATGTTTCTTTAGCAATTTCTTCTTTTTCTTCATCAGTTGAAGAAACACTTAAACCTGTCTTATTATTTTGTTTTTCTTTCTTGGCATTTATATTAATATTTACATTTTTTATTTTTGATATATTGTATTCCTAGCTTAATTAATTCTATTGAATAATAGCAACATTTCTTAATTTTATTATCGGTTATAACAACATCTTCTATATGTTGTACTTCATTTATTATATCAATATAATCTGAATAACTCCTATTCATATAAATAATAAGATTCATTATAATCAATGTTATTATTTCATGCATGATAGAATATTCGGAGGGCACAGCAATGGGGTTTTCTTTACAATGCATCAAACTAATTAGCTTCAATGCTTTATTGATTGAAACAATGGAAAACCTGTTCCATTATGTTATTCACGACCACACATAACATAATGATGTTCCATTTAATATTAATTAGAATATTTATTTAAACTATTTTTTTGTTAATTAAGTTTCATTGCGGTTGCCACACTAATATCTCTAATATTATTATCCATAACTTCTTCTACACTATTTATAATTTCATTTGTATATATATCCGGATAATCTTTCATAAAATTTACTAACTTTCTAAAGTTTAAGTTACTGTCACTTTCAATTGATGATTTGGATACTACAATATTTTGTTTTTTAATTACCGATAAAAAGTCTAACATCGTATCATAATATATTTGTTCAGTGTTGGGCACTAAGATATCACCAAATTTATATAAAATCCGAGTACTATCCACTTCACTTAAATCAATATATTCTCTTGACATTATGATATAATTATATTATATTTTTTTCTATATATCTTTATTATTACTTTTATTATGCCTGATGTAAAACCAATCCCAGACACTCCAATGTTGGTGCTATTTGCCAACATTCGCGAACGTTGGCCTGAGAAGGAACATTGGGGTTTATAAGGCCAATGTTGCTCTGAGAGGCATACATCCAAAATGTTGGTTCGACAAATGCACGTTCGACAATTCTCCTGCGACTAAGTCACGCCAAATCACGCCAAATCACGGTATTACATGAATGTACCCCAAATTTGGAATACATTTGGCCCAAATGTATGCCAACAATGGCATACATTCAGTCCGACAATCGCGCCAAA